ATCATCTCCAGGGTTTTTAGCTTGGGAAACAGGGTGATAATGAAGTGTTTAATAGTTTGAGAATGCAAGTACTACTGCAGGCTTGGAGAAAGGGGTTGAGATGCAATTCAATATCAAGATCCCGAAGGACATGCATTCATTCACAAACACTGAGTGCTATGTGGTAGTTACTGTTCTGGATGCTCATTATTTAAATACGGCTTTGAAGAAAGGTCAGGACCGCTTCACAACTCTGCCCACATTATCTATTCTTGTAAAGTATCCTCTCCCCTTCTGATCCTTAAATATTAACAGCTACCACATAACAAGTATTACAGACACTATACTAAATTTAATACTCCAATAAGAGGAGAACTATTCTCATTTTAGGGATGAGGAGCCAGAGGCTTAAAACGATCAAGGTCACAAGACTGCTAAGTGACAAGAGCTGAAAATTGCTCCCATCCTCCCTCCAGTATCCTCACTATCCTTAAAAAAACTCGAATGCCACTCCTTCATAAAGTAAGTCTTCCTCGAGTTCCCCCAACCGGATGTGCGCTCCTCCTCTTGTGGATCCCACATGCGTGGTTTCAACACCTCCTGGCATACACTGCCTTGTACGACAGTCACCACGGCAAGTGTTTAGGGGATTCAATGAGTGTCCTCTTTCAGTGTACCAGGCTTTGCTGTTCCACATATGGTTCCATTTAATTTTCCCAACATTCCTAGCTTTTATGTCCTTGTAATACTGCATCCCTCTTGGTGCACGGCAAGCGCCACAGACAGGGAGACTGATGCTCACCTCTGCGTGCTCCCTTCCCCAACCACAGCTTTGCACAGGTTGCACACTTATAAACTCTACATGTGGGCCCCTCAGGGAGAGGAAAAGGCATGAGATACCGCAGTCCAGTGGGAGGCGAGCAGTCTGAAGTGGGACGCTGCTTCACTGTTTCCATTTTCACCCTCCTTTTTCGTTTCCAGCCAAAGGACATTCTCACCAGTCCTTCAGATGCCTGGAAGGCAGGGCTCCAGACTGGATGGAAAGCGACCAGGTACAATTCTGTTTCTTGTCCTTATTTAACCTCTGGCTCCTAACGCTAGTCTGTTTGGAAATAAGCCACAACACCTAACAGGTTTTCCATGAAAATACGGCGTTACAAAACAGTCCATTCTGGTGGCCTCAGTTAGGCAGAGTTGGTGCTAGAAAACTTTCTCACCATTGTTGTCTTGGAGACTTTGGGAGGGCAAGGTTTATTTGCTCTTCCTCTCTGGAAGTTGCTGAGTCTTGAACAGCAGCCCCCAGGTCACATTTTTGTTTTTCTCCCCTTTTTTCCTTGATGCTCTCTAAAGCAGGGGTCCCCAATCCCTGGGCCACACAGCAGGAGATGAGCGGCAGGCCAGCGAGAAGCTTCATCTGTATTTGCAGCCGCTCCCCAGTGCTAGCATCACCGCCTCAGCCCCACCTCTGATCATCAGGCATTAGATTCTCATAGGAGCACCAGTTCCTGGTGCCAAAATTGTTGGGGACCGCTGCTCTAAAGCACTGTTCTCCAATCACAGAGTGTGGTACTCAGCTGAATCTATTTGAAAACATTCTTTTTCAGCGTTGCAGTAAGTTGATTCCAGAATAACTGTGGTTTTAATATAAAATCTGCCTAATTAGTCCCAGATAGGAAATTTTGGGCCTGGACTACAGAAGAGTCTACTTATGAGATCAAGGCAAAAATGGGCTTTTCATGATTTTATCTCATGGCCATGTTATCATGGCAGACTAGTATAGTGTACGGCACCTAACACACGCACTGCTAGGGGCCTCCCCAAAACGTCTCTTTAGGCAGTAAAGAGATAAGGAAGCCGATTCATAGGGACAAAGTTAGTTAGAAAACACTCAGTTGCTTTAGAAAATTAATTGCTGTTACTATAAAGAATAGTCTCCTGAAAAGGAGGCATTTGTTGGTGGCAAAAGAATCTTTCATTTGCAACTTTCCCCCTAAGGAAAAATCAGAGTGTAAAAGTGCAAGATTCTGACTCTCTCAAGTCTGAAGAGCCAACAAGATAAAGGGTCAATAGAAAAGGAAAAAGTAAAATGAGATGTCACACGTGACATCCTTAGGTAAGCCTAAATATCTCTGTAAGGGAGACAAAAACACATCTTTGTCTACATTAAAAAACAAAAAACAAACAAAAAAAATCATAAATTACTTTGGCACTTATTAAGGCAGCCTGAATGAACCCATCCAATATGTAAGGATGTTCTAGAAGAAACCATTACAGGAGCTGACGCGTAGATCACTTTCAAGAAAAGTTATCCACCGAATATAGAAGTCCGAACACAATGGATTGATAAAACTTTTATGAATAAATCCTGACTTTACAAAACCTTTGCCTTCCAGCTTCACAAACCATATGATAATCCAGAAAAGTAATGGTGATCATTTCTATTTTCAGGTGCTTCACCTATTTATCACTCTGCAGAGGCAAGAACTGTGTATCTCCTGATTTAAGACCATTCCACTCTGTGGGGGGCCTGTTCTTTGGTTCACTGCTTTGACTAAAATGCAGAGCCTTTTTCCTTAGATGGATGAATTACTCATCATTTGGTTCATTGGGGTTTTTTTTTTTTTCAGCATTTCAAGGCCTCTATGAAGCAGTAAACATGCCTTAGAATTTGAAACTGCAGTTTGAATCCAGCTCTGAAACTTGTTATGTAATTTTGAATGAGTTACTTAATCTGAATTGCATTGTATTTCTAAAAGGGAGATTTTACCTACTCTACCAAAGAGTATAGGAATTAAAACTTACATGACAGGCTTGGCAGTCATTACTGCCCAATGTTTGTTCTCTCTTCTTGCTCCCTTACCTGCCACAGCATCTTAGACTGACCAGTTGCATGTACTGCTGCTCGACCAGCTTGGTTTTCTCAAGGCCTGTTTAAAAGGGCTAAATGTAGTTTTTTGCAGATTTCAAAAAACTAAGAGAAGTAATGCCACTGTTGTGTAAGCCTTAAACTTGGTGTTGGATGTAATTTCCATTTTGTCAGTTTAGTTTGTACTATAATTACGAGATCTGGAGGAGGGGAGAGTGAAGGTAAAGACCTTCTCTGGTTGGAAGGACTATGACAGACTTCAAGAGAGGGCACTAGAACTGAATCTTACCATGTAGAAAAAATTTCAACAGAGAGAGGAGAAAGAGAACATTTCTAGAGTAGGAGATTATAGCAAAGCCAAGGTATGTCTAGATAGCGGTAAAAAGCTGAGATGTGGGCCTATGTTTAAAGTTTATTTCATCCTAAGGTTGCTTTTATACACTGGTATTTTTATAACTCCAAAAGTTCTAGGAAACCCCACGTTCTTTTCTTTAATTAAAGTCTTCAGTGACTATCACACTCCCTAGGGGGAATATTTCCTGGCACTTCAGCTCAACACTGCCAAGGCAAACTGCTTGCCCAGTTTTATAAGTGCAGCTTACTAGATAATCCTTATGTAAGTCTATATTATTTACACATATAATGAGTTAGTTCATTATTTCTTGCATGTGTATCCTAAAAGTACCTACCTAAATTTACTAGCCCCTGAATTAACTTCATGCTTTTGATTAGGTTAACGGCTTATAAAATTTTTCGGAAGACCACAGGTATAGTACCCTTATTGGACCTATAGCTTGGATGCACTTGGATTGATTGCCTGGACTAGTACTTTGAATCAACCACAGGCCTTGGTGAAAATTTTCAACAGCCCAACTTGCATGGACAAAAACCAAAGCCTTGGCGCCCTCTGGTGGTAGATGGTTATCACAGTCAACTACAAACAGGCAGGTGTGTATGAGCACAGAAGCCACAGGATAATAAACATGGCACATTTTCCTAGATCATCTTTACTTGAAGATTTTTTTGGGGAAAAAAGTGAGTAATGCAAAACATTTTAATATTAAAACAAATGCAGATAATATGGAATAGAATATAAAATTTACATTACTTTTTGAGACAAAGTAAGAGACACTGAAGACATTTCTTGGTAAGCTACTCATGAGCTTCAGGCTGTATTCCTAAACCCTGAGGGAGGGAGGAGACCCCTGCTCGCTCACGCTAATATTATGGGTGCTGCTGCTTTGACAGAGAAGTCTGAGAAGCAGCACATTAAGTGCTTATGCATTTGGCAACATCCTAGTGGATTATTTACGTAAAACCATATGCTTTCTCATTTTTGAGCATTTTAACCTGCTTTAAAAAGGCCTGTGTATATAAGAGCTTTATACTTGAGTTGAAATTCATTTCCTTCTAAAGTGATTTTTTTTTCCCTCTATAAATGTTGTTAACATGCCTAACGGAGTACGACATGCAAGGTGGTCAAGATCCTAAGAACACTGTGGCCTTAAGTCTGAATCACCTGATAAGAAGTTATACACTTTTTCCAAGGGTGCCATTAGGAATGAAAAACTACTCACCTTCTGCAATAACAAGAAGGAAACGAAATAAAAACTGAAGAACAAAAGAGTATATACAATTAGAACAGTATAATGATGTCATTTAGGGACTGGCAAAGATTTAGCTCTTAGAGAAGGGGGCAACTGCTGCAGTATTTGCTTTTCATATTTCAAATGACAAGAATTCCTTTTGGAAAAAAGAGATACTTCCTTTCCAAATCTTGCTTATTCTCTATAATTGTCTTTTTTTTTCTGTTGTTGGTGACAATTTATTACTTTGCAATAATAGACTGATGGTGTGGATGCCTCATGTAGAGATTTTTCTAGGGCAATTTAGCAACGTATTGTCATTTTCATGATGTATGAGTGACAGGGTTAATCAAATGTGCTTAGAAGCATATAATGGGAGGAAGATTCTGGTGGATGCTGTTGAATTTTTAGGGTCTACTAAAGAAGAGGTCCCTCATACCCTCCCCCCCATATAGTTTGCCTTATTACTTTTCTTAAGATTTACAGAATTATTTCCCTTTCTTCTTGGGATTGTACTCTTCATTTTACAAAGCCTTAAATTATAGATCAAATCACATGACAACCTTTAAGAAAATGCAACTTTTTTCCTGTTTAAGTAAAATACAGAGCCTGGAGCAAAAATATACTATTTCAGAATAACTAGAGGAGGATTATCAGTGGCAAATTGTGTGTGCTGAGAAAAAGAACAAAAAAGGCAGACACCAAACACCTCCATTTTCCCAAGATTAAATGATTATTAAAAAAGCGTGCCACACTGTATAGAAATCAACATTCTCGCTCATAATTCTGTGCATCTGGGACTATAGAAATGTCACTGTCCCTGCCCCACATCTTCATATTAACATTCTCAGGTCACAACAATAAGTCTTCCCAAAGGGGACCTTCCGGAAAAACAAGCTATTTCCTCGGCTCATATTTCCCTGGGGAAAAAAAAATACAAATAGTCTAGTGTGAAGATGAGATCAGTTAGTCCAAATCAGCAGAGCTCCAACTGAACATGTTTCTGGGAGACATAACTAAACAGCCAGGACGAAACTGGGACTCTCACTAGAGTAGCAATTTGTATTCTGACTCGAGCTGAACTTTTGTGGAACAAACTACAATTTTGCCACAAGGATAAGGCAAAAAATTTCTTGCTTGTTTAGACAGAATTCCAGTCTGGATTCTGGCTCTGCCATTTGTTAGCTGGGCTATCAAATGAGTTAATTGACATAAAGTGCTGCGAACAGTCCTAACACTCAGTAAATGCTAGTTTTTATTTTTCAATGGAATGGCCAGGTCTTCAGGGAATACTTATAAAGCCTTAAAATGAAAGTAACAATGTCATGAGCTTAACTGAGTAGACTCTGCAGTTAAGACAGCCTGCACACAGACTCTGCTCTCCCCAGTACAAGCTGTGTAACCTTGGGTTACATAAATGATGTTATTTAATTGTTCAAACTCCCACATCCCACATGAAGTGGGATGATAAAAAAATGGTACCTTCCTTATTTTGAGGATTACCTGAGCTGATATGTGGAAAGCTCTTAGCATGATGCCTGATGGAGCGTAAATTTCCAGTCAAGCTTTCCTGTTGTCTTAAGTACTCACAGGACCAACTGTTCCCTATGTAAGGTGCCTGATACCCTTATACATTTTATATCTACTTTCTTCCTATAGCAGGGGGTTAATTAGAAAGTAGGAAAAGAGCCATCTTCCCTTTTAAATTGGGACAACAGGAGATTGTCCAAATGAGAACGTAAAACTCAGAGTGAAACCCAGAATGCTTATATTAGGTCTGCATGGAAATCACTCACATGCTCTCGCCTGGATTCACGGAGGAGCTGGTTGGGCGTGTGCCCTGAGCAACAGCAACCTCAGTGGCACTTGGGCCTTTTCATTTGACTTCAGGCTGGGGAAGCCTGAGCTCTGTGAAAAAGGCCTTTTTCATATGTCTCACCAGCGCTATAACATAATGTAACAAAGAGCTATTTCTTACACTTTCTCCTACAATCCTGTAAAAAGTGCTTTCCATTCAAAAACAGCTTTAAGTGATGGCCATTTTAAGTGATCCTGTATTCAATTTAGTACACAGCCATCCACTATGTTGGTTCCTAATAAAGCTTTGCCTAGACTGATCAAGAAATTTTGGTTGCAGATGATATACCTCAGAGCAATAACAAAGAATACATGGGAGTCTGGACAAAATCATCCACTAACGAGACTCTATCAGTAAGAGATCAGCTCTAACACTGTGACAAATAATGTCATAAATAAACAACTTATTTCTCAGTTTCCTCTCTACTATACTGTAGGAAAACACCTGAATATATAGGGAGATTCTGAGAATTTACAAAGAGTTGCATTTGGAAAAAAATATGAAATCAAGGCCATTATTCTAAAAACGAGGATAACTGATCTACCCAGACCCCATCTGTAATCTGAACGTGATCACTCAAATGGCTACTGGATCACATCTGGTGCATCCTCGTTACTCTTCCTGATGATTTCTAAGCAGCATACTTTAGTACTATGCCACAGTGACATGGAACATTGTAAAGGGCACACTACTTGGTAGCTAAAAGATAAGCTACGAGAATCAATCTGGGATTCCAGAGACATTATTTAAAAAAAACAAACACAAACAAAATAAAATATATTGGGTGGAAGGTGAGAGAGAAAGAGGGAGAAGTACCTCTTTTTGTAGCATGCACCAGCAATCTATCCAAGAAGTATATAATGGGGAGTAAGGAGGGCATCCACCAGCAAGCCTGAAAGAGGAAAAAAAAAAAGATTAGCTATTCAAGCCAATATTTACAAAACATTCTCCCAAGAGTTCAATAAATCTTTGTCAAAATAGTCTCCTACCTAGAAGTTTCTCTAAGAGTCAATTTTGGTTCTAATGAATTCCGCCCTCTTATATTTAGGTTTTGAATCAACAAATAAATAGAAACTTCAATCAATTGTGTATTTTCTAAAACATCTAGTTTTTCATTTGTGGACAAATGAAATTCTAGAATACAGCAATTAGATGATTAAAGAGCAGGGAAAGGGGTTTTAAAACTAAGTCGTATTTAAAAGAACCGAAACGACAATGGATACAAACAGTGGTGACTACATTCTCTTACTTGGGTGTAACCTGTGATCTCTTCCTCTCTAAGAAATTATAAATAAATAATAATAATATATTTAGTTCATCCTTTAAGTATGGTCTTGGCTAAAACTGGCAGCTGTCCTACAAATCACAAAACAAACAGAATGTAGCATGGTATGAAATATGACAATTTAAAACTCCACACAGCTGTCTGATATCTTATTTGAAATCAATGACGTGTCTGATGGTATACTGCATTGGGTACTGTACTGGAACAAAGTTTTGAGTGAAGTCAAGAAGCAAAACCTCTGTACAACTTGGTATGGTCACTTGGCAACTAGAAGCTGGAACTCAAGGGTGTCCGTCACCACCCACCCTTCCCAACCAATACAGTGAGGTTAAGAAACTTTCTATGGATCAAATTTCCTATTTTTCTTTCTTAAAAATTCACTCCATGAAGCCCCCAGGAAAAACAAATATAAGTTGTCACTCAATCCCTAACATACCTTTTGTAACTTTCAAGAAAAAGGGGATAAAGATTTAAAATAAAGGAAATACGTGAAAATAGGGTAATCTGATAATTACCCCGCCCTTTTCAGAGTAGGGCCTCTATCACTGGCAAATGCATACTATTTATAAGTACTTGAGAAATCCTATTTATGCTTTTCCTTATTCCAAAAAAAAGGGTAGGAAGTGGCCGTTCATAACATAAATTAATGCCACTGCTGGTACATGGGGACATATAAAGAAAAAAATTAGGAAATCTGGTAATAGCATAAATGGTACTTTTCTTCCGCAAATTTCTACCAAGACTGCTCTGCCTGTCAAGTATACAAGCAGCCAACTACTAGGACAAGAAAAGCAAAGCACTTACCCACAGTTGTTGACAGCCATAAGATTAGAGACAAGCACAAAGGGATAGGTCAACATACTGGCAAAAAACTGTAAAATGGTAAAAAGACAGCTAAGTTATTAGGTCATTCCTAGTCTTCGTTATTCTCTTCTTTCCTCTCCTTTAAAGTCTTAGCGCCACTGTGGTCAAATATGCCAACACGGGTTTTGCTCTCTGGGATCCCAGGAAAGACTAAGTTACATATTTTGAAGCCTGGAGACGCTTCCTTTTCTTAATACACCACTATATCTAACATTTTAACAAAAAGCCAGAAGACTTCCCTTCTTCTATGATTGAGTTCTCATTTAAATAAAACTGAACTATGATATTTAAGAGAAGTAAATGCAACTACATGTAATTTCAAAACACCACTGAAGAAAATAAGAAAACAGAGCATCCTTCCAAAGACAACGAAAATGACTTCAGAAGGCAATGACTGGAAGCCCACAGGACCAAAGAGGGCGACGACCTCCACGTGGGATCAGCGGGTGTGGTGAGAAGCAGGCCTGAGAAGCAGGCACAGCTGTGATGGGAAACCACCCCCCACCCCCGAAAGCTGAACAGCACCAAACCACCGGACTTGTTATTGCTGTCAGTGTGATGCAGAAACTGGGTTATTCTTACCTCTGACAAACATTAACAACTTTGAGAGACTATCCTTGCAAGACACCTGGTTGCTTTAAAGTAGTGATAATACAGTCCAAATTTAAAACAGAACAATCCCTAAAAGATTAAAAGGATTAAAAAAGAAACTCACTCCTGTGACAGCTTGGGAATAACTCTTCATTTCATTCATGGTGGAAACCTAAAACAGAAAGCAAGGCTTTATGAAAATGAGGAAGAAAATCAAGCTGATATTAAGAGCTAATGTTCTCGACCACATCAATATAGTCTATCTCTGAATTACTAATTTCTTTGACAGCCTGAAAATTAATTTTGATGAAAACATAAAATACCGATTATGAGCATCAAAAAGCAGTAGTCAAAATGATCAACTTGATTCAACATTTGTAAATTCATAGTAGATGAATATATAAGATGGCTTAGGAACAAATGTCATAGCTTCAGGATTTCAAAAAAAAATGAGAAATACAATCCTTGGAAACTGCATTTACAGTACATCTGAGGGACAAGTCATTACCTCTATACACACCTAGCTGTGTACGAGATGCTTTGGAGATCAGTCTCCAGACTCAAGAAGCTTCTCATATGGGTTTAGTCCCACCCCCTGAGACTAAACTGTTCTATTTTCCATCCTGCTGTGGGGCTGCCTGTACAAAGAGGCCTAGAACGGCTGAGGCAGGGGAAACAGTACTTTTAGGAAAGGTTGATTCCTCAAACCTCCCAGGCCAAGGTTTCTAGAAAGCCCAATACACAAGTCCCCTTAACCCTTCAGATTAGATGAAACACCATGAACACACTATAAAACTGCCAATAATGAGGCGATCTCCTTACAGCACAGAGACAGGGACAAGTATCTTGGGCTTACTTTTTAGGTGCATCTCTCCATGGTAAATAGTATAGGTCATCCCACTGGCCTTTGGAAACTTGACTGATGTTCAGCTATATGATGAGTCTGGCACATAACAAATTGCCATCTTACTTTAAAGCTAACCTAGGTGCCAGGTGAATACGATAAAGTCAGCGCCAACACATCTCATCAAGGTCACAACCTACCCCACTGTCCAGTGCATAGGTATTGACGAGGTAGGCCAGTGAGTTACAGAGCCACAATGAAATGATGTCACCTAAGAGGCGAGGAATAAGACCCCTACATGAAGAAACAATAAGACGAATCAAGAAATGTGACCAGTAAAAAGATAATCCACTTAATACAAAACAAACACTACTCAAAGAGTTAGAAATTTTAAAACATTCTAAAAAACTGAAAAAGACATCAAATACCAGAACCCAGCTCTCATAACTAGTTCATTCTAGTTGATAAAATTGTACTTGAAGCTAATCCCTAATGACTTTCATTCCTATTTTCAAAATGCAGGTCAGCTATACCACTCTAAGTTATGGCCAATGGCTCACCTTACTATTAATAACTATAAGCAGGGAGCCAAAAATCTGCCTACTTTGGAGAAGAGACTTAAATATGGTTTTGACAAATCTAACTGTCAGGGCAAAAGATGAGAAAAATTACAAAATGAGAACACAGATTTAGGTGAGAGACATCAAAAACCAGTTTTGAAAGCCTAGATGATGAGGTGAGGCAGCACAGAATATGAGATAAACATTACCCCACAGACTGAAGGCCAGGGTTCAAATGCCACTTCTATCACTTATCAGCTATATGACCAGTAGCAAATGAACTTCCTAGAGCATTCATTTTTTTAAATCTCTAAAATGAGAATAATTATGGCTATTCTGCCTATGGCCCAGAGTATTTATGATATTCAAATAAAATCAATTACGTGGAAACACTCTGAAAATTAAAAAGGACCATTTACTTAATAATGCCATTTTTACTGTCAATAAAAAAATGAGGATAGCAGTCTAAGTCATTCCGATATAAATTCAAGGGAACGGTACACCCTTGCAAAAATGTATCCTCTCAGGATAAAGAAGCTACATATTAGATGATTTTTCCCTTTTTAAAACGTTAATTTCCCTCATTTTATCAACTGTACATAATTGAAAACTTAACTGTGAGGGTAGAGACTTAGAATAAATTTGTTACCAACAAACAAAGAAACAAACTAACTCATTCCAAATGCTTTAGATGTCCAGAAACAAAAGTCAGATCTTTACAAGAGAATAAGCCAGAGGGGCCTAAATAGAGCTTAATATGAAGTAAACCCAGAGAGCACATTTCCCCAGGGATTAAACAGTCATGTCCTTATTTTCATTAAAGCCTTCCACTCAGAAAGATCACAGATACAAATCAACAATTTACTCACGCAAAAAATCCTAGTATGCCCTCTTCCCGATATATAGTTACTATGGAGTCACAAAGTCCACTAGGTAGGTAGAGAAAAAGAAAAGGTAAAATACGTTAGATTATTTTGGAGTTATTTAAAAAATGTTCAATTATCAGTTTTGACAAGGTCAAATTTACACACCCCTGCCTCCTTTTCTACCACCCCCACTCTGCAAAGACAGCTGACTGTGGCTTAGAAGTGGAGACAGTACTGCCTAAGGATGCAGTCGCAGACAGTCAGGGGGACTTTTGGCTTCACTGGCTCTGTAACTTATCCTGAGATCCCAGGCAGACTCCTAAAATTGCCTGGGCCATTTTCTTTTATTTACTGGTTTATGTACAGATGAAATAATATAAGATAGATGAATCTGTTCTGTAAATTCTAAGGCATCATAAAAATGTAAAGCACTATTATTCTAATACTTTGGCTTCCACAGATCTTGAATACTTGAAAACAAAAACACTTACCAGTACTTGGATTCTCTGCCAATGAATTGTACCATAGATCTCAGAGTGATCACTACAGAATACAGAGAAAAGATTTTAAAACTACATTGAGACAAATTTTGATAGCCCCCCCACAAATAAAATAAAAAAGGTTTTTCCATCTAAAGACAGTACTATCTGGATGAACTAGATAAAAGCCGAAACAAGCAAGCAAACAAAAACATGCAAGGCACTTCTGTGAACTCCCACGTCAACCATCTAAGCAGTCAGGAGAGGTCATGTTGTAGAAGAAAGGTAAGAAATTAGATTTCGGTTATCAACTGCAAACATACCGTGGAAGGGATGTGTGATGAGGGTAGCAGCAGAACGAGCCATCATCTCACGGGTTGTCTAGAAACAATCAACACACATGCTGAAATCTAAATAAATGACATTCATATTCCTGTGGAAAGTTATGTGTGGGATACTGCAGAACAAAGAAAGTGAGCAAGGGGTACTCCTGCCTGGAGTCAGAAAGAGGAGCTTGAATGTGATACAATGTAATACACTGTCACTCCATCATACCTTTTACTCATGGATTTCAATGTTCTGTTACAGTTACTTCTCAACTTTTCTCAGCAAAGCAGATTTCTATTATCATCTCAATTTTACAGATAAGAAAAATGAAAGCAAAGCAACAGGAAGGGTCACCAGCAAACAGTAACCGAGATGGAGTAACACTATGAGGCCTGTGTTTAGATTATTAAGTTGCTCTCTCATTGTGAGTGATTTCAGAGACACACCTACACCAGACAAATGTCAGGCTCCACTGAATCTGCACCAGCATCTTAGGGAGAACAGAACAACTCTGATTTGTTTTTGAACTACAACCCCACAGCCCAAAGCATCTTAGAGCTGTTATATTTATCCTGGTTCATCCTTCTCTTTACAGGACTCTGTAAAAAGGTAGCAAAGAATTAAATTACAATATTTGGAGGGAGGTTGTAAATACAGCAGGTTTGTCATCCATTTTTGCATTTAAACACGATCTTCAGTCACTTCGTTAATTGTTCCTCACCCCTACTCCAATGGTAGTTCTGAGAAGATCCTGTGGGACAGAACAGGCTAACCAAAATTAAGAAACTACAACACACATATTAATACATGTATCTCTACTTTTAAATAAACTCCCTTCATGAAAATTTATAGAAAACCAACCTGATTCATCTGATGTCTAAGGTTTGTTTTAGAATATATATTTTAACTACAGCATTTCCTGGAAAATCGTGAGCTCACTAAAGACAATCAGACAACATATAAAGAGTAAGCAAGTTCTGAAAGCCATAAATATTAAGTCAGGCATGAAACAAACTCTGAATATGAGTGTGTGAAATCTAACGTCAGAATGCTATAAAAGCATTTCTGGATACATGATATCAACACACAAAAGTCTTGACCACTATTTTAACACTTTTGTACAGAGGTTTTCAACTCTATTAGATCCTCAGTAAACATCTCTTCAATTTTATGAAATGGATGAACAAAATTAGTTCCCTTGAAATTCACCTATTCCAAACAGCAAGCGATGTTTTTTTCTCTTTTTTGTTATACATATAGAAAAGCCCAAATTAAGGTGAAGGTTTAACTTCATTTGGAACAGATAATGAACATACAGGCCTGATAATCCTGATTCCACAACTGCCACACTGCACACACTGAGTCAGGGAAATAGCGTAGGACATAATTCATCTCTTACCTCCTTGATAACTCGGTCGAAGGAAGAAGTCGAGACGTCTTTCTGTACATTTCCAGGTCCTAACTCCTGGAAATCAAATGAAAAAAGATAGATACCTTGATGGTTTTAAATAGAACTGCTCAAACTAGAGGCCACCCTGTACTGCAACACTCACTGAGATGCAAAAGAAATTGACTGCTTGTCCCTTCTCCTAAAGAGGACCAAAGAGCAATAACAACTTGCATGGAAAATTGGCCCATGCATACGAAGCTCCAACATACCTCAACCTTGTCACTCTCCTGGTAATGCTGCAAAGGAAGAAGAGAAAAAAAAAAAAAGAAAGAAAGAAAGAAAAAAATAAAGGATGATTAGGGTAATCACAGTGTCATTGAAAGAGGATATGAAATGAAAACTCTATTGGTAGAAAGCAAAATAGTTGATTCTTTTTTGCTGCAACTATCCAAGTAACTTCTAATTCTAATTGATTGAGTATAAATAAGTATTTGTAAGATGATCTTGTTGCTAAGTTTAACACATTAATCAGCTGGAGGAACAAGCAAATGCTCATGAAAACTCTCATCGAAAAGAAGGAAAAGGAAAACAAAACAAAAACCTAAGAACATTTACGAAACATACACATTTAATAGAAAGTAAACTGGTAAAAACATAACCTAGGTCTAAGGCTATGGAAAAAGCCGGACCAATACCAAACTAGGGCAAAACTCTTTTCTTCACTGTACAAAAGAACAGAGAATTGGTGCTAAGTCTGAATAGCTGAAATCACCTCATTTTGCCTTTTGTATCTAACAACTTCTGAAATAAGCAAGAGAGGTTTTTTTTCTCTTCTAGAGAAGAGAACATGAATATAGCCAGAGCTCAGACTATGCTGGAAGAGGAAATATTATTTGTGAGATATTTCAGAAAGAGAAGATGGGTTAGGTGAAACAAAAGGATCAAGGATACCCTAGTCATACCAGATAAAAAAAATAGACAACACTTTATTTTCTAAAAAGAATTGTTTTTAAAGATTAGAGGCAAGAGAAAATCAAGATTCAACAAAATGGTGTTTTTTTGTCAAATTACAGGTGTTCGGCTAAAAGTAATTCTAGTACTTTACGGCACCTTTAAAAATTATCACTCATCTCTAGACTATGCTTTTTACTGCATTAATAAAAATTTCTACCTGTTTCTTCTACATTCTGAACAGATTTCAATTTAAATTCTTGTTCAGCTATATAGAACTCTTTCTTATAGAGTTTAACAGTTTCATCAACCCTGGACTGGTCTGTCTTCTCGACTGTACAAGCTGCTTTCGACACTAAGTGTAGTACCAATCTGTTATATTCATTTGGCTACATGTGAAAACACATATTCAAAAAGGTACTTGGTTACATCAAGTTTGTCTTACTTTTCCTTTCATAAAGGAACTCGGTTTCAAGCAGTAATTTCACTTTTGCCCTATGTCTACATATATAAACCTCTGACTAGATGACAACTGCCTTTCTATATGTAAATCTTACCTACGTAACAGCAAAACTTGCACTGAGCCAAGAGTAGGGTGTGACTGGAGAAGACTAGTAATCAATACACTAAAAACATGAGCCCATTAAGACTCCACCACTCTGATCCATGGGCCCTTGGGAATGGTACTTCTAAATTCAGTCCACAGGCAAGGACAACAAGAAGAATGTAAAGAATAACAAAATGACTGAAGGGTGAAACAGATTTCACGTGAGGAAATGACTGAAAAACTTCTCCAATTCAAATCAGTGAAGGCTGAAGAGCATTCAAAATCTAAGCCAATTAGATCGTGATATTGTTTAACAAAATCATGATGTGCTCTTCAGATAATAAAACATTAGAATTGGGGTAACACATTAAAGTCTCAAAAAGTACATAAAGGATTGTATTAAGCAGTTAGTAAACGTTTGGAATTTAGCACATCTGATATATTATATAGGTTGAAAGTATTATATAGATTGGGTTAGCATACACTGCTACATTTTTTGAGTTATAGTGTGATAACCCACCCTTGGTGCCAGTAGGAGACAGAATGATGCACTAGAAAAAAACCGTTAGTTTTATATTCTCAACCACACTCATGCTCAACAACCTTCCCATAGACTGTTCTAAATGGTACAGAATTTGTATTCATAACACCTTTATAAATAGAACAAAGGGCAATTCTGTTAGACCTACATTGTAACTGAGGAGCTAATACAATCAAAATTATAAGCTTTAGTATCTGAAGTTAAAAGAAGCTGCAAAACAAAATGGTCACTAAGAAAGAAAGAAATGTAACTTTGATGTTTCAAAAAATGTTTTATGAAACATCTCAAACATATGGAAAAATTAAGAAAATAATTCACCTAGATAGCCACCACCAAAGTTAAACAGGTGTTAACATTTTGTCCTTTATGCTTAAGATCTCTCGCCTTAAGATAAAACACCAATGGACATAGCTAAAGTCCCATCCTCATCTCTCCCCGACTTCCCCAAATTAACCACTAACCCACAGTTGATGCATACTTTAGGGTGAAGTTAAAAAAAAAACTTACAAATTTATGCAAATATAACAGGTATAGAAATAGTGCACAAAATACAAATGTTAAATGTAATACATAATTAAAAGGCAAAATCCATATAGCCATGATCCAGGTCAAGGAAAAACTCATTTCCATTACCCCAGAACCGCACGCATGGCCCTCCCCCCGCAGTTAACCACTATCCTGACTTTTATGTTTATCTTGTTGTTTTTTTTTAAAGTAAGTTCGTGACAGGCAACATTTTACTACAGGTAACTCTAGAAATGAGAGAAAATAAATTCAGAAAGAAATATATTTTAATCAGAGAAACAAAATTCTTCCTTCAAAGAAATAAAATTAGCTATATATGAGATCGAATAAGTGTATTTAATTTCCACTCAGAACAAATGCTTCAGAGGAAGAATGCTGTGTAGATCAAAATCAATTCCTTCATTTTATACAAATTCCCCTTGCTTCCCAGGAAAGAAATAAGAATGGGTATTTCATGTAAATGTTTTTCAAGAGGAAGAAAGGCCATGGTTATATATATATCTTTGAAACTGCTCTTTAACTGCCTAAAAGAAAATCTAAATCTATGGGAAGATAAACTGATTTTCTTCTTACCTGTAAAACTTTACCATGGACCACAGTTCCAAGGACTCCTGAACACAGTCTTGGAGCTAAGCCTGTGAACAACCCACGCTTCCCATCGATGCTCGCAATGTGTTGAGCTAAGAACACAAGTCAGAGATTTAAATTCCAGGAGAAGGAAATGGTTACAGAGAAATTTCAAGCAAATATGCTTTCTACATATATTCTTTCAGTAACTCCTGCCTAACATAGTCCTCAATGTCATCCAATTCTGAATAAATTAGACACTTACCATAACAAAAGAGACCAGGAAGCTGACAAACTTGCCGCCCAAAAATATTTCGTCCTATTGTTGGAGGAAGAGGTTCATATCCCACCTTTCAAAACAAGAGAATATATCAACATAAGCAATATTCCCATGAATGCTTTGATTGCGAGGTCTTGAAGAAGAACACAGGGTTAATTTCTAACACAAGTTAAAATGCAGTATATGTTTTCCAAGGCAATGATTAAGCATCATCCTTGTCAGTTTTTTATTTTGTCAACTGATAAGACTGGTTTCAAGAAACTCCAAGTTTCCTTTTGGTTAAGACTCTACAGATTAAGCTATGTAGCTGAGAAAGACTAATATCAAACTGAAAATAGAGTAAGAGGATCTTCTGTTAGGAAAGCGACAGTTTACTGAGGAGGCTCCAAAATATTTTCTTATGAAAATCTAGCACATTTCTTATATTTGGACAAAATGAAAAGACTAAGTCATCAACTTCACATTTGGTTAGTAAGACAGAACATTAAAAAGGCAAATTCATTTGGGAAGTAATTACAAGCTAAGGCCATGTAAAACAGCAGATATTATTAACAATCAATGAAGGACACTAGAAAAATGATTGTCATTTTATTTCTACAATATATTCAGGATTTTTAGTACTAAAGGGATACTTGAAAGAGTGAAAATGTTGTAGGACATGGTTTTGACTATATTGCTACAATTCTTTCTTGCTCAGTTAAATAACTCCTGACTGAGTTCCCTGAAAGTGTTATCATGCAACTATTTTTAAAAACTGAATATTCGTGAATTTCACGGAAACCTGAGACACTTGACAACATACAGATGTTGTGTAATCAGGATTAAGGATATTCAAGTTTTGAGGCAAGAGCTCTGAATGTCACTTGAAAACCCCGCCTCCTGTAAAAGTAGAGTAATGGGCTCATTCCAGGTTTACTGCAAAATGTTGTCATCTCAGATACTATCTAGCTACGCATGTGCCCATTTTGTTTTAGACGTCATAGTACATTTAGTTCAAAGTCTATGTTCTTGGTTCAAATAACTTATTTTACAATAGCCTTTTACATATAGAATCTGAACCTACAAAGGTCAGCTAAGCAACACATAATTTGCATTAGCATTAACTCAAGAATAAGAAATGTAGCCCCTCCCTCTCACGTCTTGCATATTTTTGACAGAAAGGTAGATGGTGAGGACAGGGCTTCTAAAAGCTGCTCTCATCCTCTGTAAAGTGCAAGACATAATTATGTTAACTCTCAAAGGTTTAAAAAAATGAATGACTTGCCCATCACAGGGGAATTTAGAAAGGCAATTGAAAATACTATCTAATAGTTTATCATCAGCTAAAACTTGGCCTCCTTGCCTGGTATATACAATACTATTTAAGAATTATTTTGCAGTAGATTGGAAACTAATACATATGCTGAAACTCGCCAAAACTCTTCCAGCTGAACTGATTTCCAGCTCAGACAGTTGGGGTTTTCACTGTCAGGAGCCACATGGGCGGCTGTTGTTGAGGGCGCTCAGTGGATCCTTCCGAAATTTGACTCGGCAACCACTTCGTTATCACTGCTGAATGAGCTCCTGTGTTTATGTGGGTATCTGGTGCTAAAATCTCGGAACAGAATAGCATCAGTAACGGTAGCAAAAAAAAAAAAAAAAAAAAAAGGGAGGAAAGAGAATAAAATCTTGGCTCCCCTCTAATTTCTAATTTCAACAGATTTCATGTCTTGCGTTTGGGGTGGGGAGGGAGGTGAATACTAATTTCAGAGGGGCAAAAAGGGAGGGTTGGGGAGCCCTTGGCGGCGACCTGGCCAAGATCAACCTCACTGAAAGAAAAACAAAGTTCAGAGGAACCACGGAGCAAGGCAGGACGGCAGTTGACTACTGGGAAAGGAGCGGGCCTCGCCGCTTGGCGGGGAGGCGAGACCTCGGGAAGGCCCACGGGCAGTGGAAGGTTGGCGGGCGGTGGAAGGTGTCCCTGCGGGAAGGACAGGGCAGCAGAGAAGGAGCAGCATCTAGGGAGACTGAAGGCCCAGGACGGCTGGAGCCGATCCTCAGGCGCCGTGAGCAGCGGCGACCGAACAGGGCGCCGCGCGGGGAAGGGAATGGCGACGACTCATACCTGGATGAGCACCTTCACGTACATGAGCGGCTGGGACAGGATGGTGAGACCGGAGCCCAGGAGCACCTGACTGGCCGCGTCCGCCATGATGGCACCCGCGGACGGACAGACAGACGGAGCCACCAAGCAACCAAGCCGGTCCCGGAT